ATAGCCATATGCGGATTGTAGATTTGAGTTTATCTTTGATATATGTGAAAGACTTCTCGAGTATAGAGACTGCTAAAGCGTCTTTTTTAGTCTGATTGTGTCAGAAGTGAGAGGTTTCTCAAATACGGGGTTTTCAGAGGTAAGCATCTTAGATCAATGTACCCGGATTTATATCACCTTCAGCTGTTTTTATGAAATCAGCCATGGTGTCTCTTATAAGAGCCCCAAGCCTGTTTTGAGGTTTGATGATCATTCCCTTGTTCATTTTTCGGGCTAACAAGCCCTAAGTGAACTTGTCGTATCCTTGGGATCGCCTCGATGTGCTCTATCTGTTTGGTTGGATTTACTATTCGTCGAGAATATAAGTTTGAACCTACATCATGACTAAGGTATGTTTTAGGATTATTTGTTGGGAACCAACAAAGTCCCTGATTTAGCTTGATTTACCTCGAGGCATCTTTAATATGGTTGAGGTATCAGGCTACCTGACTATTTAAGTTAGAGGTTGTGAGCTCTTCTTATGTGAGACGTTTTAATCATTTTAAGAAACGCCTGCTCTGTCCTGGGAACCTGGTCAGCTAGGCCTTGATTCCATTTTGGTAATGTACTCAACTCTTTTCCTTTTGTGGCTTTACGATGTTGTTTGATTTCATTAATCTAATTGTTTTTCTTTTAACCATAGCAATTTTGAAAATAATTATGCACATATACCCAAGCCCCTTCAGGCACGAAGACTGTAGGACTTTAAGTGTTCAATCACGAAATGCTGGGACTTATTTTCAACCAACCTGTTTATTGGCTTTTTGCCATCTTTAATTAAGATTTCAGTTTATAGATCACGCCTTTTAAGGTGCATATCCTAAATTGAACATTCTCGCTCCGTCTCAATTTTATCCTGAGAGCCCCGAGTAGACATTCGCTCATTAAATCTTATCAAGTTAATTGTCACTTAACAAGCCCCAAGCACCTGCGGCCAGGTTGTTTTTTATGCATGCAGTCAGACAGAGCCTCTTTTTCCAAAGACGAGGTTGACTGAATGCGGATAGAGGCCCAGAGACTTAACTGGCTTGAGGGTTCAGATTCCCTTGTAAGGGTACACCGAGAACGGATTGAGAGCCTTGGCAAGGTTGACCGTATGATAGGCTTTCAATGTGCTCTGAATTTAATCCGGCCAAACCTTCTATCCTGGAGACGAGGTGGACCGTGCGAGAGACTTAGAGTACCCATCGACTTAGTCCGGTCAAACCTTCTTTCCTGGAGGCGAGGTGGACCGTGCGAGAAGCTTAGAGTATGCGTTGACTTAGTCTGGTCAAGACTTCTTGCCTGGAGGCGAGGTGGATCGTGTGAGAGGCTTAGAGTACACGTCGACTTAGTCTGGTCAAACCTTCTTTCCCGGAGGCGAGGTGGACCGTGCGAGAGGCTTAGAGTATGCATCGACTTAGTCTGGTCAAACCTTTTTGCCTAGAGGCGTGATGGACCGTGCGAGAGGCTTAGAGTATGCATCGACTTAGTCCGGCCAAACCTTCTTGCCTGGAGGCGAGGTGGACCATGCGAGAGGCTTAAAGTATGCATCGACTTATTCTCGACAAACCTTCTTGCCCGGAGGCGAGGTGGACCGTGCGAGAGGCTTAGAGTACGTGTCGACTTAGTCGGGTCAAACTATCTTGCCCCGAGGCAAGGTGGACCGTGCGAGAGGCTTAGAGTACACGTCGACTTAGTCGAGTCAAACCTTCTTGCATTGAGGCGAGGTGGACCGTGCGAGAGACTTAGAGTATGTGTCAACTTAGTCCGGTCAAACTTTCTTTCTTGGAGGCAAGGTGGACCGTGCAAGAGGCTTAGAGTATGCATCGACTTAGTTCGATCAAACCTTTTTGCCCAGAGGCTTGGTGGACCGTGCGAGAGGCTTAAAGTACGCATCAACTTAGTCTGGTCAAACCTTTTTGCTCGGAGATGAGATGGATTGTGCAAGAGGCTTATAGTACGCATCGACTTAGTCTGGTCAAACCTTCTTGCCCGAAGGCGAGGTGGACCGTGCGAGAGCTTAGAGTTTGATCGACTTAGTTCAGTCAAACCTTCTTGCCCGGAGTCGAGGTAGACCGTGCGAGAGGCTTAGAGTACGCATCAACTTAGTCTGGTCAAACCTTCTTGTTCGGAGGCGAGGTGTACCGTGCGAGAGGCTTAGAGTATGCATCGACTTAGTCCGGTTAAACCTTATTGCCCGGAGGTGATGTGGACCGTGCGAGAGACTTAGAATACGCATCGACTTAATCCAATTAGAACTCGTTTGCCCGAAGACGAGATTAACTGTCTTCCCGCTATTTACAATGGTGTTACATTTTGTTTTGAATTCCACCTGTTTTTGAGACCTAATAAAAGTAGGGTGCCTTCCACCCACACAGGGGAGAAGGATGACATTGGTTGCTTTAAAGTAATTCTAACTAGTTTTTTTACATAATTACAAAAACAGTAGAAGTCGTATCTCGACTTTCAATAAGCGAAATCATAACTAAACATTTGTCCTCGTTCTCGGCCCTGGCTTTTGTTGTTCTCTGACTTGTGTCATCTTGATTTCTTCTAAGCATAATATGTGTCAGGTTCTCTTTGAGAGCTTACTTTCTTCAATATAGGATTTTCCTACGTTACGAGCTTCTTCTATCTTATTTACAAGTTAAGAAAACAAAGGTGTGGTGACTCCCGCCTACGCAGGAGATAAGGACGACACCTTTTAATAAATGAGTCTAAATAGGTTATTTACAAAGCAACAAAGACCATTACTCGTTCTTATACAATAATAGAGATAATTTTATAACACAAGTTTATGTTTTGTCTCGTCTCCTAGTTTTGTTGGCACGCTTACTGTATTTCACTAGTGCACCTTATACATAACCGGAATGTCTGTACCTGATCGAGGTATCTATATAATTCCCCTAAACATGAGGTTTTGTTGAAACAAGTGAAACGTTTTAGCCCTAAGTCATCCCGACTAGGGAGGACTTTTGCTTCTTGGTGCTTGTCAGAGATCTTACTTGATAAATTCATTCTCGACTGGTATATATATCCCATAATAGTTTCAACCACTCATCTCATGTTATGGCGTGGCACATCTCGGCCTCGCCAATTTAACTCATCGAGTCATGAAAAATAATAAACCAATGCATGAGACTAGTTATAAATATGTGTAGTACTGTCAACCAAATAGACTGCTCTAAAGAGTAATATTCACCGATCAGCAAGAAGAAAGTATTTCAAAAGAAACATCATGCATTCTACACTTTACTACACCAATATTATCGACCTCCAAAACGCATATGATTATAGCCTCATTATAATCTCATAGTAACACGTGCTTTATTCATGAAACGTTAGTGGTGGCTCATAATACCACGATAATGCATCATAATTTCATAGTAACGCATGCCTTATATTTTTTGACATATTATACTTAAATATATCATACAGAGGGATTAATCAAAGCCATAGAAAGATCTATAATATAAATAAAAACTACATGCATAACCAAGAGGATCCTAAACCCTGATATTAAGTATAAGAGGTATAATCACAACAACTTCATCGGACGAAAAAAACATACAATACATGACTAAAGAAATTGGGAAAGCTTGAGAAATTATTTGATACCATGGATAAAGAGTGGAAAATCGGTATATAGTTAGTACTTCACAGATCCAAAACTTCTATATTTATTTTTATTTTGCCCTTGTGGTTACCGGCATTGAGATTATGCACCGCACAAAAGAGAGGTAATCTCGGTTCAAGTCAAATAGGTATATGTATGAAAACAAGCGTTGGATTTTTCATATGCCACAAACTTCCATGCAGGTTTTGTCATGTTTGCAATTATTAGTTCACCAGTAATAACTAGTAGAAACCATTATGCATTACTACGTAGTATATGGCAAAAGCTTATATGTATAGGAGATATCGTCTCCAACAGTGTTGTTGGGTACGATGAGAGGTTACCGAGAGTGCCTACCTAAACCGTAAGCTCATCATCGGTAAGCCGTGATCCTTGAGTCCCATATATCCTGCTCATCACAAATAATCTATGATCAATATAAAATGAGACATTAGCTCTTATATATTGCATTCAATCACTAACGCTGCTACAGTAGATGCTCAACACAGAAGAAAGCCCCAACCATTTTGATTATGAACATATGCGGACTACATGATATAGCAGTCAGCAGACTGTACGAAATACCAACTTCCCTATGACTCAGATCAGCCCGCCAATGTTCTGTTCATGAATAGCCTCGTCTCGATATCATGTCGGTGGGGGTGCAAATCAATTTTATCTTCATCTGTCAAACAAATAGCATAATTTTAGACTATAGTAAGCCAATTACAATCATCCTTGGGCATAACTTTGTTACTTTTTACCGACTATGTTAGCAATCGTATAAAAAGAACTCAAGCTTATATACTCTTAGAAACAGTGCATTTATACGGTTTTATTTGATATCGGTTAAGAGCTCTAAGCTTCTGTAACATGGGATTTCGATTCGTCGGAACATGAAATGCATTATAGATAGCTATTATATAGTTCAGGCTTTTCATCAAGAACACGACATGCACCATAAAGTAAACACGACATGCACCATAAAGTAATCACGGTATTTAGAAACTAGTAGGATGCAAATAAAAACTTATCTTTACGCGTGATGCAATACTGGTTTCACCCCACGAATCGCACTGCGAGTTGGTTTCCAACTGGGAACTCCTCACAAAAAATCCATTCTCTGCACATTATCGGTGTCCACAATGCGACCCTTTCGCTCGTTATCACATAAGTGGTGCCTCTCTGCATCTTCACTTTTCGTATAATCCCAAAGATACAACAGTGATGCCCTGTATTTATCTCTTTATGTACGCGGGAACGTTTCACGCGACGACTGTGATTCTCTCCGTCATTTCTAGATCACGGCCTGTGCAGATCAGATTAGCCCCTGCCTTTTGATGGTGGATTTGGTAACGGTTGAATGCATGACTTTCGTAACGGCTTGGTGGATTCGCTACCGGGAACCAACCAATATCTCTGTTGGAATTATTCGGCTTCCACTGCGGCGCCATCACACCGGCCCCGCGTATCTTCACGTCTTAACTTTCCTGGTTATCTCGGAGATACCGAAACTTATCATCTGATGAATAAAGTATGTCCTTCCCGAACCATAACTTCGCTCTGTACCTTAACATCGTTCCTGTGGCATCATTATTAGTTTTCAATTCGTAACCGCTGTAACTACTGCAGAGTTAATGAACTATAACGGAACCTCTATCCAGATTTCGATTTACTTTCACATAGAGAGCGTGTTTTTCCAAAATAAACATTCAGGCTAATTAGAGCGAAATGAAGATCCATACGCGTTAAACATTCAATAACGAAGAATCAAACCGAAATTGAAGATAGTCACTTATCTTTTAAGGGTGATACTGGCACAGTGACTCTTGACTCATCTTGATTTGTACGAGCTCATCTGCCATAGCAAATCTCATCTAGTTCTTCCAAATCATCACCTAATAAACGTTCTACCCTCCTTGTATCTCGATGTATTATTCAGATTAAAGCTTTCTTTCGCCGTTCCACACCGTTTCCCCACTGTTGCAGAAGTACGCTGTACTAAGAATAAACAAGAGGAATGGTCGATATCGAGAGGACGTCTTAGATCGGGAATAGATGCCTTTGTTGATGTCCTGCAATCTGAGTGTGTTATTAGAAATAGTACACCTACCATGAGAATAGTGGTAAGGAACCACTTTTCCACGGTCAAGGATTAGTAGATCAAATTGTGATGAAGGCCAAGTGCCCCGATCTTGAGGTCGGGAACAATATTATTGTGGTAAGACCATGGTTTCTACGCCAATCACCTAGGGAGAAGGTGATTGTTTAAGTATGATTGGTGTGGCATGGGATAGTTTTATCAGGCTATACATTAGACGTTAAATGTTCTTGGGTAGGAATACTAAATAAGTATTTTTTTTTTATAAGAATAAGGATAGTCTCAAAAGTAGATTTTTGTAGGTATGATTGGGGATTTGAGAGTCACGTTTGTCATACCTATTGTCTCAAGAATCAGTGTCTTGCTTACTCCTTCGTTGGGAGCTCTTTATATGTGTTTGTCTTAAGTGTAAGAATCAATCCCTTTTTCCATTCTTCAAAGACTCATTTTATAGGCAAGTCTTTGGTCTAATGGTCATTAATGAACTTATAACGTCTATAATTCTCTATTAGTATTCTAACCATTCATAATGGCTTGTAACGTTCGTAACCGCTATCTATTGAGTTTCGTAACTGTAACCAACTCGGCCTGACACAACCCGGTCAGGCATAACCCGACCAGATACAACTCTGTCAGGCACAGCTAAACCATTATGGGATATAGAACAATATATATATATATATATATATATATATATATTCGGTTCTAAAGCTTTTGCAACTGTCTGATGTGATATCTTTTGGTCTGACATCTTGACTAAATCTTCCTTGAATATCAAGCAAGAGGATAAGAAATCAAATACTTATGGAGTCCACAAATAACAACTGTTTTTAAATCCTCATCAGAACTTCAAACATCTCTTAGAGACAAAACATTCTTCCTTGATGACTTGTACCTTTAGACCTTGAACACACAACTGACTTATGTTTAACCCAATAGTCAACAGTACTTTAATAAGAAGAACATTACCAAGACATAGAGAAACCATCGTGTACTCTTCAGTTATCCAATGCCCTTAATCTCCCTTTTTAACATCATCACCAAAAGTAACAGTTGATAGAGTGAGACTTAAACAAACCATCAGAAACACCTTTACCGCAGTTGAGTGTCTAGAACAGTTAGTGTCAAAATATCAATCACCTTAGTTGAAGTTCTAAGAAAGGTATGAAAAATAAGACAATTATCACTTTCCCCGAGTTTTAACCACTGCTTGGTTAACTAAAGTTGAGTTTGACCTTTGAAGATGTCAAACAAAAGAACATGTCATGATCAATTTTTCACAGAAGAGACATCTTTAGTGCAAGTTTCCACCTTTAGTTTAAGTATTCAGATGCCTAGCACAATGTTGAGACATTAAGATTGACATCCTTGACCCAACTTGCCTTTTGATAAAAACTGTCTTTTGTCATTTGAGTTTTCTCGTAGCTAGGTATTGCTGAAAAACCCTATCCCTTTTTAGGCTTCCAAATATCATCACTCTTGAAGAAACTCCTCAACCTGATCTGAACTCTCCTTACATACTTGATCAATATATCAAGTTTGAGGATTAATAGAGTCACTTTACCCTGGAAGTTACAGATGGTATACAACCCCCATTCTCTTAAGACATAAGATAAGAAATAGTCACCTCATATTTTCTTCATGGTTGATAATCCTTTTTTTATTATAGATACACATATCTTTAAATAAAATTGCCAGCTCATCATGAGATAAATCTTCAATACATGAATCTACATCAGAAGTTCATCTTCTTGTCAAACCAGTAACATCATTGGAAAATTCATAATTAGGATCACTTTCTTCATTAAACAAAGAAATAGACAGCCATACAGTTGCTCTTCAAGATAGCTAGAGCCTTCTGCTCCATAAGGATTCAGAGCATGTACACTCATTTCACTGAATGCTTTGACATTGGTTGGTCTTTACTCTAATTCCATCTTTTTCTTAAGCTTCACAGACTTGTTAATGTCAGTACAAATGTTATGGATATTTGGTCTAGACATTTTGTCCATTCTTCTCAAAACCTGGTTGGATTGCCTTCCAAGGAACATAATAGCAATAAGAAACCCTTCATTAGGACCAGAACACAAGCTACTACAGAGTTGGAAACAAAAGAAGTGCTTTTGTTCTTCTTTAAAAGTTGTAACTTCCATGTCAATTATCTTGAATATAAACCTGAGCATCTTCCTCTTGAGCAGTCTCTCTTCTGAACTTTTTTCTCCCAAAACACTTAGATGTGTTTTTATGAGTGGACTTGAGAAGCTCTCAAGTATCTTTAGTCACAGTACAAGTGATATTGAGTATGAACAAAAGCTTATCAATTCCATTGATTATGATATTGACAATTTCAGAGTTAGAAAGAGCCAACTCATACTCCTCCCTTATATCTCCTCAAAACCATGATTCTCTTATCCTGACAATTCTCCAAGATCCGATGTCCATTGAATTCCATAATACTATCATTATAGCCATCCAACAAAAGAACAGTAGTACCAGAAAAATACTCCCTGGAGCTCACCCAATAAACAGATCAGGGTGCATGCTCTGATGTCAATTAGAATTATGGCACTTGTAATACAAAGGTCAAGACTGATGTCTTAACACGGAAACACGATGTCAAGACAGATGTTAAGAAATCTGTTCCTGATACCGAATAATATCAAATTATAAAATAAACTCCAAAATGATAAATAACACAACAAATTATTAACCAAGTTCAGTGCAACGTCACCTACTCTGAGGGCTACCAATCCAAGAAGGAAAATCACTATGATAGTACTAGGTCAAAGCCTAAACAATCCCAGTTTACAACTTCTCGCCTAATTCCTACCTTGTGCAACTTCTACATAGAAATCACCATCTAGATATGAGATCCCCCTCTCACTTCCAATCATTGTAGTGATATCTACAACCACAAATCTTGTAACTAGAATTGTAACCAACTAGAAATTTAGACTTCAAATAAACAATACTCCATTCCTTGCTTAAAAGATCATAAGTGAGAACAAAACTTAGTCTTTCTTAAAAGCTTTAATCGAGAATGATAACTTGATAAACAATCAAATAACAATAACTTGATAAACTATCAAGTAACAAGCTGTCTACCACACTGTATCAAAAGATACGTTGGTGACTTGCAAAGAACACAATAGACTCTTAAAACCTAAGACTTGGACTTTTCCAAATTTTACAATTATGAAAAGTTAAATTACATTAGGTTATGTCTTCTATTTAAATACACCTCAGTAGTCCATGGGCTTCGAAATCTTCACCCAAATATTTCTTGATCCACAAGCTAAGGACTGCACCAATTATGCAGAAAAATCTCCTTAAATCTCAGAACAAATCTTCAAGGTTTCTAAATTGTCTCAACAACCCATTTTAAAAACTTTAATATTGTTGGAGATTTGATTCACTTGTTCCAGATTAAATCCTCTTGACCCGAGCAAATGATTGAGATATATCTAAAGGAGATATCACAAAATCAAATTAAATCTGTCAAGATTTAAAATATTTTGTACTGTTGTTCTGGTACAACATGTCACAACATTTGTCTTCAATGTAACCTTCACACTCTGCTGTAGCAGTCATATCAAGATGTTATGACATCTTGCTCAGCATCTGTCATGAACCATATTTTAGCAAAATTATTGTCAATCCTAAAATCATAGATCTAACATTTAGACTCAGATAATACCGTCCAATATACATAAATATTAAAGTGTCCTAGTTTTAACATCATTCAAAACATATCTAATAGGAAGGTGCACTCACACATGTTACCTCATATTTTCGACACAACAAATTAAGGGATTAAAAATAGAATTTTTGGTTATATGATTTAACCTAGTTTATGCTCCAATAGAAATGGTTATCAAGGAAGATGCGTTTAGGTCGAAGATATGTTGGAACCTCGATTGAATCACGAATATCAAGGTTAGTGAAATTTGGTATGATAAGAGATATTTGAATCTTGATAATTAGTGAAATTTGGAAAAAGTTTCAATTTCGGTGCGACTACTATTGATGCAAGTATGTCAAAATAGGATACAAATGGATAAGATCAGACAACTAAGAAGGAAGAATGAAAGCTTATCAGAGATGAAAGTTTCATGGAAATGAAGACGTTTCAGACATTGTTTAGTCGACCATTAGTGACGTTTATGTTAGAAATAATATATATATATATACTTCTATCATTTCCTCTATAAATACTTCCTCTTTGCTTGCCTTGGAGGCTCTCCCATATGCATAGGAAACATGTAAAGACATGATATCCGAAAACACCACCCAGGAATATGCATGGACGAAGATGGATGAAGTTTATGAAAGATTATGATTTTCAGCTGAAGTATCGCCCAAGAAAAGCCACCAAGGTAGCTGATGTAATGAGTAACAAGGAGATGGACACATTTAAATTGATGTTGTTAGTGCATGATATGTTGGAGAAGTTCTTAAATCTTAACCATCATTTTTCCTGGACTTCAATAGGGGTCTTG